TACTCTACCTGGTATAATATCGGATAATTATTGGTAAACATGTATACTCTACCTGGTATAATATCGGATAATTATTGGTAAACATGTATACTCTACCTGGTATAATATCGGATAATTATTGGTAAACATGTGTACTCTACCTGGTATAAAATCGGATAATTATTGGTAAACATGTATACTCCATAACATTTCTTACATATGGATCGGGGCCATAAGTAAATATATAAGATGACCAAGTGTTCCTACATGCTCATTGGTTGGACCCTAATTACATTGTGGTGGGTGATTTGGTCTTTATGACGTCCTCTTCTATTGAAATATCACAAAACTATGTGCCAAATCTTGGGTTCTTTCTTTTTGTCAATTATCAAAACAGCAGCAGCACATCATACACAATAACTGCATACTTTAATTGCTGAATATCACGTGATTTGGGCATGGAATTTTAAATTTTAAAAGATAACAAGTTTTATAATACTTTTACGGGTTACTAACGAGTTGTGATTATATCTGGAATTACTTTGTAAAATATGCTATAATATACCTTATGCATTACCAGAAGAGGAATTAAACTAATCGACGCATTGATTTTCAGCCAAGTGTGACATAGGAGGCAACTCTAATATTAATCAATTCGCAAATCAAATCATGACTAATAAACTCTCACCGGATGGTTTTCCACAATTTAGAGGATGTCAAGCCTTCATTAAGATATTACCTTTGCAAAGTCCATAAAAGGATTTACAACATTTTAACCAATGAAATATCGGAAATTATTCTTTAAAGAATGACTTAAATCCATTGAATATGTAAATAAGTGTACTTACCACGTGTAGGAAATTCAAACTGTACGTTAATTTCAATATAACGGACTTCATTCTGTCCTCTGTCGTCCGTCTCAAAATTTCGACCAATCACCTAATCATACAAAAGTACTAGTTTGAATACGGTATACCGGGAAAATTTCGCCGCAGTGTAACTGTCGCCCTTTTCGCCCTCCGTAATAAGGGAGAATCTGTCACGACATTGAAAATAAATACACAACCTAATACACATAGTAAAAACATATAAAGGGCGAAATTAATACTGAGCGAAAACCGTTTTACCAGTGAAAGGCGAAAAATTGACTGGGCGAATAAATTTCACGTGAGTAATCATTTATGCATAGCAAGAGACATGTAGGCCGAGAGTAAAACATGCATCATTGTCATTGCGAGAAAAAAGTAAGATATGCAAGCTCGAGAAATGAAACGTGCGCTAATCATAAGAAAACTAGAATTGATTTTTACCGAAACATTTATAATATATCCTACCATTTTGAAGAATCCGCTGTCTTCTCCATAGATATGTTGTAAAACGGAGACCAATATGTGATGGTCGTATAGACGAACGTCCACGTTTTTGACCCCAACGATTGAGTCACCAGTCCTAAAAACGACAACAAGAGTTAACCGAAATGTCAACAATACCGTCATAAGAAAGTTCATATGACGATCGGGATTAAAACCTGGACCCGTATTCGTGAACCGCTCACATGTGTAAGCGTGATTCTGTGTTCAAAGCAACTTTCCTGTTGCTCGCTAAAGTGATGTTACCAAATTAAAAAATAACTGTAAAGTAGAAAAACGATATCAGGCTTCACGATTCTCCTAAAGACTTTCATAAATACGGTAAGGTGCTCCGAAAGCGTACTATTCCCTGTAGCGCCATTCTCGATATTCAGGGGGTTACGCTCACTTTCGCTCTCTGCACCCCTGGGATATGACAGCAAAATTGAAGGCTCAGTGTGCGCCACTTTATTGATGAGACAAGAAGACTAGTTTGATCCTTTGATATACATCAAAAGAATCGTGCGGTCACGTAACGGTAAACATTGACAGGCTTTGAAGTCGGGCGTTTCTCCTTTGTAGTCTTTAAAGGACAGGCATCAGTCTAGCGACTGGTGAGTTTTTTTACCCGAGACCAATCATACAGCTATTTTCGTGCCTTCAATTTTGCTATGACATGTTCCAAGGGTGCAGAGAGCGAAAGTGAGCGTAACCCCTGGATAACGTGGATGCTGTAACGCATTTTCTTTTGCAATAAAAGCCGAATAACATAGTGATAGTCTAGGGTTTGTAATTGGAGTCAGTCAGTAGGCCACACGAAATGTTATTATTATTCCTTTCTGAATCAGTACAATACCATATTGGAAAGGTTGAATACTTACTGAAGACTCATGTGCTGCACGTGGCTGTTATCATTGTCGTTTACACAAATCGTGTGACCAGATAATCGTGATGACGTCAGAGAAAACCCAGCATTTTCTTTGTGTGATCTAGTTAGTTGAAACTCGATATGAGTTTGACGTTCTTTGAAGTCGTCATTCTAGAAAAACAGAATTCTTTTAAAATAAGACTGACATTTATTTTATTTAGTTCGACATGATGTCCACTACATCACGGTACGTTTGCACTATCAATGCTTATATGCTTGAATATTTTCTGTTTAGTTCTACATGACGTTAAATATTGGTAGATATTTTCTGTTTAGTTCTACATGACGTTAAATATTGGTAGATATTTTCTGTTTAGTCCTACATGACGTTAAATATTGGTAGATATTTTCTGTTTAGTTCTACATGACGTTAAATATTGGTAGATATTTTCTGTTTAGTTCTACATGACGTTAAATATTGGTAGATATTTTCTGTTTAGTTCTACATGACGTTAAATATTGGTAGATATTTTCTGTTTAGTTCTACATGACGTTAAATATTGGTAGATATTTTCTGTTTAGTTCTACATGACGTTAAATATTGGTAGATATTTTCTGTTTAGTTCTACATGACGTTAAATATTGGTAGATATTTTCTGTTTAGTTCTACATGACGTTAAATATTGGTAGATATTTTCCGTTTAGTCTTACATGACGTTAAATATTGGTAGATATTTTCTGTTTAGTTCTACATGACGTTAAATATTGGTAGATATTTTCTGTTTAGTCCTACATGACGTTTAATATTGGTAGATATTTTCTGTTTAGTTCTACATGACGTTAAATATTGGTAGATATTTTCTGTTTAGTCTTACATGACTTTTAATATTGGTAGATATTTTCTGTTCAGTCCTACATGACGTTAAATACACTGTATTGGTAGATATTTTCTGTTTAGTCCCACATTACGTTAGATATTGGTGGATATTTTCTGTTTAGTATTACATGACGTTTAATATATGTAGCTAATTAGATACTACTACTTTATTCTACCTTTGATAATTACTAATTAACCTGTTATATACCTATTGAATGAAATTGGCTCTGGGCAGCTTAGATGGGGTTTCTTTTTTGTTAGCTTACATCATGATATTAAATAACACCTTTCAGTTTAAATAAAGAATTATCATATTATTTGCAGGAGTTGGTGTAACCCTCCTGACAAATTATATATCTATTTGCTGAAATTGGCTTTTGATTCTCAACAGTGTATGGCTAGTGTGTTATACATATGGACTGTACGGCCTGTATCTATTAATTGAATAAATCCAATATCACCAAATATTTATACAGATTACTTTATATGAATACCAGTAACGCATTGTCTAATACATTATTCACTGGAGATAATAGTCTAGTAAATATCTCAAATTAAATATCCCTAGTGAAAGGGTTACTATCTCAGGAATATTGAACAGGTCTGTTTACATCAAGGAGTTACTTCCCCTTATCCCAATCATCGTATCAATGCATAAATATATGTC